GAAGAACTGTTCAGCTCCTCTCTGCGCTACTGTCACACTGACCCAAGGGCTGCCCCTAGCCCATCTGGCATTTTGGAGGCATCTCTCATGCCAAAACACCCCTGATTCCCTAGAAGGCCTCTGTTTCGTTCAACAATGGTTACTGAAAAGCTAAACATATCACAGCTGGAGGAGAAGAAAAGAAAGCCAAATAGGAGCACAGAATATACAAGCTGTGAAAGAAACAGACCACAGAACTGAGCACAAAGGAACATATCCCTTGTAGGTATGCTACTGAAGATCCATACTGCTGATTTCTGAGTTCAGAGTCCTCCGTGTAAATAAAAACCCTAAGGAATATCAATGGGTTTTGACCAGTCCCCTAATAGAAAAGGCCTAAGAAACTCTTCCAAAGTCACCCTCAGATAACTTTGAATACTAAATATACATACACACATTGCAAATTTGTTTCTATCCTATAATTTTATCTTTTTCAGTTACTTTTTTAGTTTTGGTGACATTTAATAACCCAGAATGTCTAAGAATCAAACATCTCTTTCCTGTTCAGTCAGACCTCAGATTAAACAATGTGTGAACAAAGTAAGTAAAAATTACAAGGAATGTTTTTAGACCTCAAGGAAATGCCTGAAAACCTGACAAAGAGCAAGACATGCAAATGACACACAAAAGACATACGAATCAAAACTTCATCACTGGAGATCATCAAAACCAGGGCTGACAACTCTCTGGCAAAGGGGCTGTAACAGAAAATGCTGTAGGAAAAGCAAATGGCTTAGAGGAAACCAGAATTATTTTTCAACACTTAAGCACCAGTGAATGAACCCATTGAGCCCCTACGTCCCTCTGTCTACTCACATCTGTAGAGGGCTGTTCTTCTACACAGGATATATTGTTCAAAGGGGCCAGTCCTTCCAACATTAACTCGTTTATGGAGTATATTCTTTGCAAAACACCATTAGGCTTTGGAACTGGATTTTTATTTTGTAGGCATTAAATCATAAACTCATAAAAATCTCTCCTTCTCCTGTTTCATTAACACCAATCTACTCTGCCCTTTTGGCTCACCACAGAAAATCAACAGGTAAGAGCTTTAACAAAGCTCCCAATGTGTAAGCCTGAGCCAGAGACTGTTCATCATGTGCTTTTAAGGTGTAGCCAAAAAAATCTTAAGAGTTAAAGCCTACAGTAGTGAAGATCTTGAATGCTGCAAGAAGCAAGCAAAAAGGTACCAAAGGCAGTAAGTACATTTCTCCAGTAATTCAGCCACAGCAAAGTAGCTCCTCAGCCGGCACTTCTGAATCTGGCCACATCTCTGAGAAACAGCATGAAAGCTGAATTACAACACTTGAGTACTTCCAGAGAGCATTCAGTGCTATCCATCCTTCATAATAACACTAACATGTCCCCTACCATCTGTAAACCACTCTTCCTCTGCATTCAGCAAATTTGCACGCTTTTGGTTTTTGCTGGAAGTGCTACAGGAAGCATTTAAATACACAATGCCTCCCATGACCAAGGAGTTTCTGAAAACTTCTACCTGAAAGTAAAAAGGGAGTATGGATCCTTTGAGCTCTTAGTATACACCTGCACAAGGATGATCTAATGATTAAAGTTGCGCATTGTCTAAAAATCACTGGTTGTTTTAACTGAAAACAAAACAGAAGACACACACTTTCAAAACTGGAAGTACAACTGCTACCGACCACTTTGTCCCCTTATTGGCCATCTCATCAGTGAGGCCAATGAACAACCCCGAGAAAAGACACAGCACCTCAGAAGGAAATGTCGCCTGAACATTTCTCTGTCCAAGTCTCATTGAAGGCACAATGGCAGAGCAATGGATTAAAAGAACGAGATTAGGGAATGGGAATCAAGACTGATTTGAATGATCATGCCCAACAGACTTCTGCGGGATTGAGAATTTCACCCTCCATGCTCAACTACGGAATAACAGAATGAACCAAACTGGAAAAGACTTTTAAGATGATCCAGTCCAGCTGTTCCCCAGCACTGCCAAGGCCACCACTAACCCATGGCACTGAGGCCTCGTCTCCACGCTGTGTGAACACTTGCAGGGACGGTGACTGCAGCCCTGCCCTGGGCAGCCTGTTCCAATGCCTGAGCACCCTCTGGGGCAGGAATTGTTCCTCAGCTCCATCTAAACCTGCCCTGGTGCAGCTTGAGGCCGTTTCCTCTTGTCCTATCAAGAGGAGGTGGCTGAGAGAAGAGACCAGATGCCTCCTGACTCTATCCTCCTTTCAGGTATCTATCAAGCAGAAGACACTGTATTTCTATTTATATGAACTTTTTTTGAATTTATTTCTTGCCATCTTCATAGCTTTAAATGCAGGATCAAATTTTACAGTAAAAAATGTTGCAAGTGTGACTATTCATAATCTTAGTCAGATATAACACTTGTCATCTGACGCAAAAACTGCTCAGATACACCTCATTCGTGATTAACAAAACCAGCCTGGGAAAACAAAGATAGAGTGCAAAATGCAATCCAATCCAGTCTAATTATCAGAGGAAATTTCAGATGCTAACAGCCTCAACTAACCTATGTTTCAGAAGATTCTAATCTCAAAAATATGGTTATATATCGCCGCCTACCTCCAAAACTCCGTCACGATGTCTATGTGCGCAAGCGCATGGTGGGTTACGCTGCACACCCCCTATTAGAACCTGAACCTTTATGTTCCTGTTTCTGTTCTCCCCTAAGTAACAGTGTGCTTGGCCTCAGAATTTCAGGCCTTTGGTGGAAGTGTATTTTTTAAACTTGGAATATTATGACTATGAATCTGCCATGCATTATTAATGATGCTCAATAATTCAAGCTTTGCTCTAACTTGATTGTTTAAGGCAAACCATATAATCAGAGAGTAGTGCTGAACAGAGGTCTTGTGTTCTACATGGAAACTGCAACACACCAAGTCAGGGCTGAGCACAGAAAGCAAGCCAGAAATGAAATCTCAGCGCAAAGGGAATTGAAACTACTACATCCATGTAAAACTGTCCTTAAAAATGGGAAGGAAGCCAAAAAAAAACCTACTTTAGTGTTGCAGGGAAAATGTGCCACTACCAAAGGCAGAAAGGCAGTGCCACTGCCAGAGAGCATCAAAACTTGCCGAGTGCCATATTTGACTTACTGGATAGCCATGACGGAACTGAAAGGAGAATCTAATTTCAACTCAGTAAAAGCAAATACTGGATCACCTTGATGACAGACATGAAAAAATCACATAACGCAACCCCCTCAAAGTTCTAAATAGTAACTAGGAACCACACAGCATTTCACAAGATCACAAGACAAGTACAAAGGTTCCCAATAATCATTTTCCTTTATCTTTCCTTCTAAGATACATAGAGATGTTATAGATAAGGCATACAAATGAATTACAGTCTGTAGCTGTTTACAGTCATTTCATCCTGAGCTCTGTATCTTGAAGAGCTCCCTCTCCTTTGGCCCATGTCACCAAGTTCATTAGGGCTGATGGCCATTGTTCAGTGTCCAGCTCAACTGCAGCTAAAGCAGCTCTGGAGCTAGCTGGAGAATGGTGGTACTTCAATACCAGAGCTCAGGCTAGCAACCAGCCAGGCTAAATAAATAATGAAGCATGGTATTCTAACAGATAATATAAATACACCTCCAGCAAACTGCTTGGGTCCAAAGGTCAGGCAACTTGTTTGCTCTGTCTTCCAAGAATTTGTAAATCTCAACATGATGTTTAAACACAAACATCTACAAACATCAAAGTTCAATGCTGACATATTTTACACCTCAAAGTTGCATGCCAGAATAGCTCTATACCACACAGAGAAAACTGCAAAGCATGTGTAAGGAACTGACAAAACAGTATGCAAATTTTTCTTTAAATATCCTCTCATTCGGTATTTTTCTCCTTCTTTATTCTCTCTTGACTCTCATTCATCCTTTCTCACACAGAGGAGTATTTATGCAGCTGTCTAATTTCATGATTCCTGCCTTTCATTACCCATAAAGGGGGAGATGAAACTCAAGCCTTGTTTCAGGGTATGTGTGGGGTTTGTATTCCTGGTTGAGTCACACATATGGAGACACCTGTAGTTATGAAAACACAAGGTTTGAAGGTAAACCATCAGTTCCTGAGCTAGAGAATGGACATGCCAGCTACATGGGCATTTCCAGGCTGTTGTGCAGATGGACCACGCTCTGAGACTCTCCCCCTTTTCCTCTCCCCTAAAGGAAACCTGCAAACAACCTCATAGCTCCTACTCGCATTGTGTTTTTCTTCCTTGCTAGGTTCTCATTCGTCTTATTTTTTGAACAGCTCTGGACTGGCCAAAAGCAAAAAACAAGGGACTTTGGAAATCACAAGAAATGAGTCTTGCAAGTGGAAAACCACTGGGGTGAAACTGAACCCTTCTCCCCACGTTCCCAAGAGCCACACCATCTGCCCGTTTCTGAGTCAAGACCCCTTGGGGGGTGACAAGCGTAGTGTCACATTGGGTGACAGACAGTGGCAGTCTGGCTGTGCCGAAGGAGAGCCTGAGGCTGGCACCAGAGATCAGCTGCACCCTCCCTGCTTGTACCCAGTCTTAGCAACCAGGACTGCCAGGAAGCAGCCTATGAATAGAAATGCAAGCGAGCAGTAGCTTCACGCCTGGGAATCACCTAGCTCTCCTCTCCCTGACACATGAAAACCTTGGCTGGAGCAAAAACCTCCACTTTGTCAGCAGAGAATTCACAAGGGAAGCCCTTTCTCACTATCACATTTCCTTTGATGAGCTGGGAAAAAGAGAGGATGCAAGGAAGGAGGAGAGTGGGCAACTTCTGAAATGTAAGTCAATGTAATGGCTCGGCACGCTGCGTTTTCAAAAGATTAGTGCCCCTTCTCCCCTCTCCAAGGTGATCCCATCAATCCCACCCAGAGAAAGGGCTGTTAACCTCTGAGTGGAAGGCTCCGGAGCGGAGCAGAGCAGAGCAGCAGGTGGGAGCTCCCCTCACACCCATTGCTCACCTTCCTGGCTCCTCGCTTTGCGAACTCCCTGGCCAGATGCCGGCCGATGCCTCTGCCGCCGCCGGTGACCAGCACGCTCTCCCCAGACAGGTCCCGGAGCTTGGGTGGCAGCACCATGCACACGGCAGCTTTCACCACCAGGTAAACCATCTGCACAGGGAAAAGCAGCAGAGCGCCCAGCCACTTCCAAGTCATCCTCTTGTTCCAGGCAAGCCAGGAAGGCAAAATCCTCTTCCAACCCTTCACGAAACCAAGTTGACAGAGAAAGAAATCCAATACCCTTCATGCACCCCCAGATGGGTGACAAGTCTTCCACCCCCTTCCGAACCTTGGGGGACGTGAGATTCCTGGACTGGCAGAAAGCCTTCTCTCCCCCTAAAAAATAATGGGGTAGGAGTAAAATAGTACAGAAGACCAAGTCACTCCCCTGTTTCTTGATGAGTGTCCTCTGGGATTGTCACATGCAGGTAAAATGGTTTCCTTGCTTTTTAATGGAAAGACAGGGTTTTTTAAATTAAAAGAGAGGGAAAAAAAAAAAGTGAAATTAAAAGTAACTATCCATCCCTCAGCTTCAAGGACCAACATAAAAATCCAGTATCCAAATGGAAGGCTTTTATATTTAGAAAAATAAAATAAAGCAGCCTGTGTCTCCAAATTTCAGCCTGCAGTGCCTTCCAGGCAGCTCATTTCTATTCTTAGACTCAGGAAATTGCTTAAATAAGAGAGAACTGCCAGGACCTTCTTTTTAAGAAAGGCTCAACTCAGGGTAAGGTTGTTGGTTTTGTTTTCATATCTATAAATATCTGTAGCCGTTCGGTCCTGAGCCGGTTGCAGAGGTTGAGCTGTTATCAAACCGCCTCTCGCTGCCCCCTCGCCGGGTTTTTCACTTGGGAGTATCTGAGATCACAGAGCAGGAATTACGCCGTGCACTATTTCAGCGCTGGCTCTTTCTCATTTCTCCCTATGGCGCTCTCCGGCTATCACAGCCGCAGCGCTGGGGAGGTTTTTATACCCCATTAAGCCTGATTGACAGTTAAAGTGTTGGGGAGCTCTCACTACTGTTGCTGTGAGTGGCTGGCTCGGCTCTCCCCTCCCCCGAGCTCTCCCGCAGCCGCCGCACAGCGGCTCCAGCACGCAGCCCGAGGCGGGCGCTGACTGCGAGTCGGGGGTAGCTGCGTGCTACGGCGGTCCCCGGGCTCCGCCACCCGGGCAGGCAGCCCCTGACTCCCTGTCCCCGCGGCCCCCCGCCCGGGACCCCCTGTCTTCAGCCGGACCCCCTGTTCCCCCACCCGGACCCTCAGCTCAGGAACAGGCAGCGTTAAGGCTGAGTTCAAATCTTGGAGCTCGGGCGCAGAAGTATTGGCCCAGGATGAGCTGGTGTGGAGGGGAATGGTTCCTTCAGCGCCGGATTGCCAGGCTGGATCCAGCTAACCATCAAAATTTAACGCCGGACCAATGTTTTTATGGACAACACAAAAACTCATGGATTTTCCGTGCTGGAAGATGTTTGCACTGCTGAAAACTGGTGCTGGAGTAGTGGGACAATAAGAGGCAGGCTCGGTACGAAGGAGGGAGACACTTCCTCATAACAAAGAATGGGTTTTTCTCTCTACTTTCCCAATCCCTTTTTGTCCAGTTAGGAGGGCATAGTTGCAACACAAGAAGGACTCCATAGCACTTTGGACTCTGTTGTAACAGGAGAAAGGGCAAAGCTTCTTGCAATACTGCCCCCCAGCTTGGTTGTTGGCGCTGTAAAGCACGAGGCAGGTATGATGTGTTTTAGCTGCACTGATGAAGCGTTTCTGAGGAGGATCTAACTGCACATCTGAACTGAGAGCACTGCTGGAGCTTTGACAGCGACCAGAAATAACCTGATAATCCAGTATGCAAAGCTTTGAAGGTGTCACAAAAAGCTCAAGGGTGTGAAACCTCCTTTGCTGTCTTCACAGCTGAGCTGGAAAGAGCTTACACTTTGCATCTGTATATATCATTAAGAATGTGCTAAAATGAATCCAATCCCACGTTAATTCAGGAGGTCGGGTCTATATCCACTATCCTGGGAAGCCATCTAGTGGTAAAAGCTACAATTGCTGGAAAATGACACGTGTGAAAGACACCTTCCAACTTTAAAGTTACTAAAGCACCACTGCAATGGAAGTGTATTACACAACCAATATAAATTAATTAGGAAGCTGAGTCCCTTTGAAAAGAAATTCAGTTTTATGCTGTGGAATCAATCAGACATTTCTGGAAGCAGGCAGTGTTCAAAGGGGCCACAAGGTAAGTGTTCAGGGGTTATTTGTTCTCAAAGAGTAACCGAGTTTCCGGTGTCACCCACATTTAAAATCTTTATCACACACGAGATTTTTAACATAAAATATGAAGAACATGTAAATCCTTGCATTTCAGCTCTGTTAAAAGTTCCACCAAAGTTTTCAGAAAAAAAAATAAAATTTAGAGAGAAACTTGCAGAGTTCTTACATTTAAATGGCAGGTTTCCTCATAACAAATAAGCCATACGATTATCACTGCATCATCACTGAGTGTCAGGAGAGAGATTTTTGGAGAGAAGAAGATGAAGCTCCTAACCAAAAACTGTAAGTTTGGACAGATTGTTGGGATCAGGTGGTACTCCCTAACTTAGCTGCATCTGAAATAACCAGAGCTCAAAGACTTTCCATTGCTGCTTGGCAGCGTTTAGCTGCTCTGTGTGTTTTTACAGTAATACCTTTGGAAACGGAGCTAGGGGGTCTAATTTTCCTCTCAGTCCAAAAACTCTGAGGAGGAGAGAGAAATTACACAGACAGCTTAGTGTCTGGTTTAGACTAGAATGACTCAGTGTCTGGTCTGGTAACAAATATAACAACTTGCCGGTATGGACGTAAGGAGCAGTGTTCAAAATGAAAGGATATGAAGTTCATGAAAGTAAATCTGATTTTTTGATTCCTGAGTTAGTCTCTTTATGCATAAATCACCACAGACACATTTAAAATAGGAAATTCAGTAATATTATAATTAACCTGTTCATATTAAAACCAAAATTCATTGTTTAAAACATTTGCAGATCCTTTGAAGCCAGTGGGAATGGAATAATTTTGTGAATATGGATTTCAATCTCTTTCCAGCTTCAAGAATACCTTAAAATGCATTGAAAGTATTTGGGCTTTTTTCATTCATTATGATTTTGGTTTATTGATCTATGTGCGAAGTTGTTACCATTTGGAGTGGGAGTAAAAAGATGGTTCTAGATATTTAAAATTTTCCTTTTAAAATTTCTTGGAAGTATGAACTATTTTACTTCTTTACTACTTTACTTTAGATTTACCTTGAAGCACTAAAAACCAGGAGTCACTACACTGTACAAATGTACAAAAGCAAGAAGCAAAAGCAGACTTATAGCAAAACTGAAGTTGCTGTATCTTGTCTGTAATAAATATGGTGAAAAGTACAAGCCAGTTAAGAATTCACCTGCTTTGGCCAACAAGTCAAATAGCTTCAAATTCTACACATAGTATGTAGTAGAACACTCAGAACAGCTGAGGTTTGTCCCTCTTAATTGCAGTTCCACTCTGAAAAGTGGGGAAAAATAGTATTCTGGGATTGTGCTCTTTTTTGGCAAGAGGTCTTTTCCCAAACTGTCACCTTCACAAAACCAACATACGCTTTTGTTCAGAGTTGATCTCTGGTTGTGTAATCCCCTAACCAGGCCTTCACGTGGGTTTGGTTATCCAGACTCCTTACAGGAAACATCTAGAGGTGCAGACAGCCAATTGGTACATAACTTTGTTGATGGTAGCAAGGATCTGTCACATCACAGCAGTTGTTCCTAACTGTAAGTTAGAAGTTGTCCCAAAGTGAATCCCTTCATGTTTCTGCTCACTTCACTGGCCTGTTAATTTTGTAAAACTGCATCAGTTGCTATAGCTTGGTTGCAGAATGAACTTTGTGTTTTGGATAGTTGCACAGTACCCAACTATTTGTTTTCCTATACAGACACTCACAATGAAGCATTAATTGAAAAACGAAAAATAACCCAGAAACTTGGTTTAAGCCCTTTTCATGGCACTTTAAACTACTAAACTTTATTCCAGTCTGCAACAAGGGAGTCATGTAATACATCTCAGCAGTAACTCATTCAGTTTTGGCTTCCACTTGTCTGTTTAAATTTCTGGGCTTGTACTTTTTAACAGAAGTGTAAAGGAATACAGCTTTAATGGAGTTTTATAAATCTATTCTGAATTAATAAGTTCAAATTTAGATCATCCCTGAATGACCCACACCTGGAACCACGGCTCAAAAGATGCCTTTATGCTTTCTGAATATTTAACCACAGTATTGCCTGATTGTAACATCCCAGCTTAAAAAAAAACATTTAGGCAAGCTAATTTAAAGGGAGGTTAGGAAGGCCTTTTGTAACTGAAACCCAGCTTTGGATCACGGTTAGTGTAGATTTACTCATACTCTCAATGAGAGTCATAGAAACCTACTTCTTTTTACTTTCCCAGTCTTGAAGGAAAAAAGAGCAGTGAAAAGGCAACATTTACTTCTAAAATAAGTTGAAACACTCTCTTGCATAACACACTCGCATAACATACATATCTTGCATACACATCACTTGCATAACAAAGGTCCATTTTTGCAGAACAGTGTTACATGGATCTGTGAAGAGGCTTGGGTAGAACATCGGAATGCTTAGAGCTTCATGTTGCACCTCTGTATGTTAGCAGAACTCTACACTGGCTCACAAAGCCTTTGCAGTCAAGTTCCTAGCAAACTTGAAAGACTGTGCAAATGAAGTTGCTAAACTGCAAGAACTTTTGACAGGAAAAGGATCTGGAAATTAAAAGCATGCTCAATGCATGTCTGAAAGCTATTTGGGCTAAGAATTCTGTGTTTTCAACTTAAAAAAACTTCACCCAATATATACAGGACATTGGTAAGCAGATGGGAAAAAACTGGGAACACAGAGCAGCACTGTCACACAGTGGAAAGTCTGTTACTGGTGTGTTAAGAAATAACAGTTTTTTACATCACTGCAAGGTTCTTTACCATGGACAATCTATCACAATCACAGGTTAAAACTAAACCTCCTTTAAAAAAGGAAAACCTTTTGCCAAGTTGGTCTGGTTTTTGTTACATGAAGCACTGCTGTCAGATTTGGATAAATCAAGAGCTAAATTTTTTGCTTCTTGATTTCATTCTTCCCTTGAGTCAACATTTTCCATTTGAAATGTGTCCCAGTGGTTCTATGATTTCACACTGTCCCTGTGTGTGCTATTAAGCATTAAGAGTCTGATACTGTTGCCTTGTAAGTGGAGCTTTGCCATGGACTAAACTCAAATGAACCATGTGTCTGTTTAACTTCCAGCCTTGTGCAAAAAGCTACATGTGGATGTGTCACTGCTTTTCCAGGGTCTCACAACAACCCTGTATCATGAATAAAGACATAACAAATGTCTGAGTAATTCTAAATTCTAGATGACATCCCTTTCTGGATTCAAGATGTGTAAAGGTAATTGTCTTTATAAGCAGTACAATGTTTTCAAAGTGCATGCAGGTACTAGCTGGAATTCAGACAAAGGGATGCAACAGCAAGAAAAGAAAACATCTTTCAAATTCTTAGTCATCTTAGTACATATAGGATTTTGTCATTTGTACTAATTGTCCTTCTTTTTTCCTTAATGCTTTGATTTGAAGCCAAATCTGTCTCAATCTGTTATCCTTTTTCTTCATATTGGGAGACAGAACAGTGAAAAATACCACATGTAAACAGGAATGGAGGGACTACATTTTGTTAGACTGATTGACTCATCTTATTTTCTCTTTATTTACCATTCCTTCTAATTCCTCAGTCCTGACAAAACTTGTAAGACACACAAGGATTGAGGGAGGCAGAAGAATAAAGTCCATAAGGCCTTCAAAATCAAAATCAGCTTATTGTTTCAAGAGTCTGACCTGAAATCCTACTATACTAACATGATACGGATTTTGACAAGACCAGGACAGGAGGTTAATGCCTGCAGTAAATTTGCACTGGAAGCCTGTAAACTGACTTAGGAAAAAAATCTTCAGACAAAATGT